TTATTGGGTGTAGAAATACTAGCAGAGATGAAGAATCTTTATGTTCCTTCTTCGTCTCGACTCTCGACAGTTTCATCTTCTTGGTAATTTTATTTTGTTTTTAAATGTAGCAGAGTGTATTTACATTCATTTCTTCTCTTTTTTCTCAACACTCTCTATCATATTCTTTTCTGAATGTTTCAAAGTTGAAAATTGTATCATAACATAGTATAATTTTGTAGCTTAAACTTTCACAAAATGCTGGAAAATCCTAGATTTGTTACACAAAATATTACTATCAGAAATCTGAAGTTATTCTTCGCATGAAAAGTTGTTCTTATGGACATGGGCTACGATTGGTATTATGGCTTTCTAAGCTTTAGGTTTTGTAAAGTCATTAAAGTCAAAAGCCATGGTCGGTCAGTAGCGTAAACGACCGCTTATGACATTATGATTTAAAATAATAATTTTAGTTGCATATAGGACATGATAAAAAAAGATTACATGCATAATAAGGTCATAAAGTTTTAAGTGAGTTTACGACATCAAGAAAAAAATAAAAATGTTGGACCGGCACTACTTATGGAAAAAGATAAACACAGTGACATTTAAAATTTGTGATTTCAAAAATCTGTTTAAATATTTGAAACTTAGCAATTTTTAGATTTGTTTAAATAATATTCTTTGATTATTAGGTGTTGGGTCATAACATGTTCAATAAAATTATAGTTTTTCATAATTTTGTTGCATCTTTTGTTTCATTTTGGTCAATATTTCATTTTTGTATATTTGTTATGTTAAACATGAATAGGTGTGTAGTTTAGAGAAGTATTATTTAACAAAAACAAAACTGAAAATAAAATAAAATATTTGGATTACATATCAATTATAATATTTATACCATATTTAGAAGACAGTGAAACTAAACCGGTTCCTTTTCTTCATTCAATCAATAAGGTTAACCGGTTCGTATTTTTTGGTTAGGTTGAATCTTTAACTGTTTTAACGAACGGTTAAAAGAACCACATTGTTTAGTCGTTTCTTTCTGATACCACTCGAATCTTTCACAGCGTTCGTCCATGGCTTCTCCAAGGCGTTCGTGGTCGTTGTCGTTGCTGCCACCGGAGATAATACATGAAATCTTTTACAAGACTCCCGCGGAAGCTCTCGTCCGGTCAAAACCGACGTGCAAGAAACTGTACACTCTCATCACCGACCACAGTTTCATCCACAAACACTTCAAACGCTCTCAAGAACACTTCCTAAGAGCCACTGATACGGTACAAATCATGGATCCAACGACGAGAAAAAACTCTGTTTTACCAGTCCCAAGCGAGTTATTACAACATCCATTCGAGATTGATAGTTTGGTTAACACACACATGGTTCCCTGCGATGGGTTCATGCTGGTTGAGTACAAAATGTGGAAGTACAGAGACGACGGATCAAGAGACACCAACCTCGCACTTTGGAATCCTGTTTTGAGAAACATCAGATGGATCGAGCCCTCACGAAGTATCACGAGCTACGACTACCACGGAATTGGATACGACAAGAACAAGAATGGTTACAAGATCTTGAGGTTTACTAGCCGCCCTTGGGAGATTGAGCGTTATGAAGATGAACCAAAGGTTGAGATTTACGAGTGCAACACAAGTTCTTGGAGGACGCTTGATGTGGAGCTTGATGTGCATGTGAATATCATGCGTAACTGTGTGGCTGTGATGGGTAACATGTACTGGATTGTTTACAGAGATGATGAAGAAGAAGAAGAGGATGAAGAAGAGTTCATTCGTTGTTTCGATTTCTCGGATGAAACATTTAAGGATATATGTTTCTGTCCTCCTTCTTATGATAATAGTCACTTATCATCTTTCAATGGAGATAGCTTGTCTTTGCTACAACAAGAGCAAGTATCAAGAACCATTGAGGTGTGGGTTTCAAGTAAGTTGGGTGATGGTGATGTCTCGTTTAGCAAGTATTTCAGTTTGTCCGGTCCTGATCTTCCGGCGTTACGGCTCCATGATGATGCGGCTTATGCTGTTTATTGCTTTGTGAAGACTAAGAGTGTCATCGCATGGTGCGTGGGAGTTGAAGGAGAAGGTGATAAGGTTTGTCGTTGCCTTACTCTGTATGAGATTGATGAGGATGGGGTGAGAAATGATAAGGTGACAGAGCGTGACTACATGCATGACTATTCTGGCTCCTTCGTTTGTGGCTATGTGTACGTTCCAAGTATGATCCCACTTCCATGGGTAAGAGATTAGGGTTTTCTTTCTTGTTCTATAAGCTTTCGTTTTGCTTTTTGTTCGTTGATCTTCTTCCATGTATATATATCGAAAGGAACTATAATACTGTGCAGATGTTACTGAATTTGACATTGGTTTTTGTATTACGATCTTATAAAGTTTTTGGTTATGGTCCACTTTTGTAGCATGTTGTGTATCAGTGCTTGTATGGGGCGTAGTTTTCTGATAATAGTTTTCTTGTTCAAGAGGTTGACCTTTGTAATATGACATAACTCTCCTCGGGTTTATACTCTGGACGAGTGTGTCATGCTCCCTACAATCAAAACCCACAGATCAGTTAAAAATCATAATTGAAAACCACTATCAAAACGTTAGAATGGACACAAAGATAAGGGACTTTCTTTTGATAGTAACAAATGTCAGTTTATTGGTACAAGTCCTAGTGTATCTTCCAAAACAGAGTGTGATTCTAATGAGCTCATACGCCTATCATCCAAGGTCTCCAGTAATCAGTGACAGAATAGTTAAGAGATCTAGTCCAAGCTTGAGTCCCACGGAAAGGTACATACATGTTGTGTCGTTGTGATCACCACTGTTCTTTTTTTTTTTTTGTAACAGATCACCACTGTTTAGACAAAAGAACCTCACTAAGTTTACAAAAATTCTTGAAAGCTTGAACTACTTAGTCTAATGACATGAGTTTGAACTCTGAAATGAAGTTGAGAGATGGCCACTGATGATGTCATTCATATGGTATGGTACACTGCTTTTAATGTCATGGAGGTAAAGCGGTAAGTTAGACTATCTACAATGCTAGTTCAACACTCTTAACTTTTTGTTAACACTCTATATCATCTTTTCTTCCATCTATATTGTTAAACGTCTACCTCATTTTTAATCTATATAATAATTTTATTTAATAAAATTTAATATCTTATCCTATCATTTTAATTTATATTTTTATCTTTATAAATTAATAATTACATATTAATACTTTTTATTGTAACTAAATTAAATAATTAAAAATACATATTTTTAGGAATTTTTATTTATATTTTAACTAAAAAAATTAAAAAAAAAAAATTATAGTGAGAATTGATATGTTTTCCTTAGGGCTGGGCAAAAAAAACCGAACCCGAAAATCCGAACCGAATCCGATCCGATAAAAAGGAATCCGAACCGATCCGAACCCGACATAAGTACCGAATGGATCTTGTTTTACGGTATTTCGGGTTATGGGTGTTACCTGAACTTAAATGGATATCCGAAAGAACCCGAAACTTTAAAATTCCAAAAAAACTTGTATCATATCCAATCTAAACTTCTAATATGTTTCCAAAACAGATTAATATATTATTGAGTACCTACAATAATTAGTTATGATATAAATAATTAACTCAAATATTTAGTCTAATATATAGTGTTATTTGGTTAATATTAATGTTTATGATTGACATTACATTTGAAGTTAAGTTATGAATAAATTTGTTTTGAAGTTTATATAATGTTGTTTTTAAAAGTTTAAATAGCACTTCTTATGTTTATAGAATTGTTAGTTGTTAACTTTAATTTTTTATGTTTCATTATGTATTATATTTCGTTCATACAAGGTTTTGGTTTGCCATTAATCATGATATGTTTAGTGTTGTCACATATAGTTCATTGACAAATTTTATATGGTTGATAGATGAGTTTCACAATATTATTTTGAAGGAGAACAGTATGGTTTGTAGAAGCTAAATACACAAATTTAATAAAATGATTGAAAATCTAGTGAGTTTAATTGAGTATAAATTAGTATTTTTAGAACTGATAACCCGATTAGTATCCGAAACCGAAACTATTTCGGGTTCAACCGGATCTTGGACATGTTACTAAACCCGAATCGAACCCGACTAAACCCGAAACGAATCCGACCCAAATTTTTATAATATCCGAATGGGGCTGAAATTCATGAACCCGAAAACCCGAAATCCGAATGAACCCGAACCGAAACCCGATTGGGACCCCGATTGCCCAGCCCTAGTTTTCCTGTATCCAAATGAAATGAGAATAGTATCTATTTATAGATTATAAAAAGTCATGAATTCTAGTAAAACATTTATTTTTTAAATTGTTTGTTGCAAAATAATTGAAATTTACTATTTGTGAATTCACTCTCTTATTAGCTTTCTCCCTTCACGTTTCAACACTTGTCTCGCAAGACCCATCCGCTTGGTATTCAACAATTTCAAACTTTTCAACTTGTATTATACGTTGGAATTTTTTAGAATCCAACAGCCTTGTTTTGAGGATTAAGCAGTTAAATTTTTGATTCAACGACGTCAAGTTATTAATTCCCAAACCGGTGGTTACTAAACCATCGTTGCCAAAACGGTGGTTACTAAACCGGTTCGTTTTGTTATTCAATCAATGAGATTCAAAGATTTCATGTTTTTGTTTAGGTTGAATCTTTAACTTGTTTGCTTGTTTGATTCAGTCAATGGAATTTTACCCCAAAGAAAAAAGATTAAAGAATCACAGGGAGGAAAAAGAATAATTATCCAAGATTCTCTGATATCTTTAACCAAAAGACGGTGGTTACTAAACCGGTTCGTTTGCTTCATTCAATCAATAAGGTTAACCGGTTCGTGTTTTTTTGGTTGTTGAATTTATAACTGTTTTAACGGTTAAAAGAACCACACTGTTTAGCCGTTTCCTTCTTCTTCGTGCTCAAGTAACTTCTTATCCAAGAAACTCTGATACCACTCGAATCTTTCACAGCGTTCGTCCATGGCTTCTCCAAGGCGTTCGTGGTCGTTGTCTCTGCTGCCACCTGAGATAATACAAGAAATCTTTTACAAGACTCCGGCGGAAGCTCTCGTCCTATCAAAACCAACATGCAAGAAACTCTACACTCTCATCACCGACCACAGTTTCATCTACAAACACTTCCAACGCACTCAAGAACACTTCATAAGAGCCTCCGATACGGTACAAATCATGGATCCAATAACCAGAAAAATCTCAGTTTCACCAGTCCCAAACGAGTTATTACGACATCCATTCAAGATTGATACTTTGGTCAACACACACATGGTTCACTGCGATGGGTTCATGCTGGTTGCGTATAATATGTTGAAGTACAGAGACGACGGATCAAGAGACACCAACCTCGCGCTTTGGAATCCTGTCTTGAGAAACATCAGATGGATCGAGCCCTCACGAAGTATCACGACCTCTGACTACCACGGGATTGGATATAAAAACAAGCCTAGCGATGGTTACAAGATCTTGAGGTTTACTAGTCGCCTTTGGGAGATTGAGCGTCATGAAGATGAACCAGAGGTTGAGATTTATGAGTGCAAAACGAGTTCTTGGAGGACGCTTGATGTGGAACTTGATGAGGGTGTGATTATCATGCTTAACTGTGTGGCTGTGATGGGTAACATGTATTGGGTTGCTTATAGGGATGAAGAAGTAGAAACAGAGTTTATCTGGAGTTTCGATTTCTCAGATGAATCATTCAAGGAGATATGTTTCTGTCCTCCTTCTTATGATATTAGTCACTTAGCTTCTTTAAATGGAGATAGCTTGTCTTTGTTAAAACAAGACGAAGTATCAAGAACCATTGAGGTGTGGGTTTCAAGCAAGTTGGGTGATGGTGATGGTGATGTCTCGTTTAGCAAATATTTCAGTTTGTCCGGTCCTGACATTCCGGCGTTACGGATCGATGATGAGGCGGCTCGTCCTGTATACTGCTTTGTGAAGACTAAGAGTGTTCTTGTATGGTGCGTGGGAGTTGAAGGAGAAGGTGATAATGTTTGTCGTTGCCTTACTCTGTATGAGATTGATGAGGATGGGGTGAGAAATGATAAGGTGACAGAGCGTGACTACGTGCATGACTATTCTCGCTCCAACCTTTGTGGCTATGTTTATGTTCCAAGTATGATCCCTCTTCCATGGGTAGGAGAGTAAGGTTTTTGTTTGGTGTTCTATGCTCTAGTTCTGCTCTTAATTTGTTTGTTGATCTTTTGCCATGTATATATCTCGAAATGAACTATGATAATGTGTGCAGATGTTACTGGATTTGACAATTGTTTTTGATTTTGTATGGTTATGGTGCGCTGTTGAATGAGAATCATGTTGTGTAACGTTCATGTTGTCATGTTTAGTTGGTTCAACAAAACTATAAGATACATAGCAGGAAAAATGGGCTTGCTCTTCTGATTGTGTCCAGCTAGAAAGTCATCACGTACATGATCCTTTTGGATTTGGTTAAGACATAAATTTTAGGCCCATTTAAAACTAGTATATATAAGAAACATGTGGATTTAATGTCAAACCGACCTTAGCTCAGTTGGTAGAGCGGAAGACTGTAGTGGGTAATCCCAAAGAAATCTTTAGGTCGCTGGTTCGATTCCGGCAGGTCGGATTCTTTTTTCCTTTCTTCTTTATAGTATCTATGGGACCCACATCCAACCAGCTTTTGCTTCCTATTCATCTCGCGTGCGTAAACCGTTGATTAACCAACCCCCACACGTTCAGAAAATCCCTTTTTGATTAGAGAAGACGCTCTATTTCCCCCTGAGAAGTATCATATATCACCAGACCCACACAGACTTTGGCTCTCGTTCTATTTCCACACAAATACTATGTTTAAATCTCCTTTCTCCCCAGAAAACAAAGTTCGAAGTCTCTATCTCCATACTGTCGAAGTTAATGACCGAAATACACATAAGCTTAGATTAAACTCGGTTTACTGNGAGAAGACGCTCTATTTCCCCCTGAGAAGTATCATATATCACCAGACCCACACAGACTTTGGCTCTCGTTCTATTTCCACACAAATACTATGTTTAAATCTCCTTTCTCCCCAGAAAACAAAGTTCGAAGTCTCTATCTCCATACTGTCGAAGTTAATGACCGAAATACACATAAGCTTAGATTAAACTCGGTTTACTGTTTATATTAAACCGTAACTCATTGTTACCCAACTATAAACCAAAGTTATCCACCTAAGATCCTATTATACTTGAATTAAACCGGATTAAGACCCAATTGTTAATTGGTTAACCCGAATATAAGAAAAATCCCCAAATCCCCAATTGTTTCAGAAAACGTAAACCCTAGTTCTCCCCAGAAATCAAACGAAAAAAAGAAGCCGACGATTTTTTTGGATTCTGGCTGATTGTTGTCGGAATCATGTCTACAGGCGGTGAGAACTCGAATCCCTCTCTTACGGACGAATCAGACGACGAAGAAGAGATAGAGAGAAACGCGTTTCGGGTGGAAGAAGATGTAGCCGCCTTCACAGATGAACCTCCCATCCGTCACAATATATATCCAGATTCTGAGACTGACAGTGATGCAGATGAAGAGGAGCACGATGAAGAGCAGCAAATAGCGCGACAGAGGACAAGAAACGCATCATGCATTGTGGACTTTGTGGTTCACCCAACCACAACATTCGTTTTCATAAGAAGAAGGTATTTTTCATTATTTCTTTCATATATTACAGTCTCCTTTCATAATTGACATACAACTTGTTTCTTGATCTTATAGGGTACACAAGGTGAACCATCTCAATCATTTGTCAGTCAAGGTGAATCTTCACAAGCTTGAAGATATTTCTATATATAAGAGACGGAGTAGGAGAGGAAGAGCACAAATATTTTTTTTGGTTGTGTCTTCTCTCTTTTTCGGATTTGTGGTTTTTTTCTATGGAAGTTGGGATTTGGTTGTTTTCGGGTATTGTCATTCTTCATGTATGAACAAGTGGTGTTGGTCTTCTCTTCTTTATGTATGAACATGAATCTATCATGCATGTTTAACCAAAATCTGTTTCAAATTTGTTAGCATTGTCATATTTGTTTTGGTATTCATTTTCACGAACATGAAAGACAACATTTTTCATTTAAACATAGCTTCCCAAACATAACAAAGTCAAGTACAAGATACAAGTTTTCATTGCATAACACAAACTGAACTGAAATAAAATTCATCACACAAATTTGATGATGGCAAACCCCAACATACAACCTATTACAACAGCAACACACATTTTCTTCATGTTCCATTTTGCTTCTACCAACAGCTCCTCCATTCTCTCAAAGACCTCTTTCTCTAGCTTCATTTCTATCTTCTCAAATGCATTCTTCTCACCTTCTGTTCTTTCCATGAGAATTTCTTTCACCATTTCTTCAAGCCTATTCGTTTTGTTCTTCAAAGCCTCTATCTCGTCTAACAAAGACTCATCCATCCACTTGAAAGAATGATTATCATTCTCAAGCTAAAAGAAATCAAGTTAGAATCTGAGTTTTTGAGGATTAAATGTATTAGGTGTGAGCATTACCTTTTTTGCAGCAGCAAAAGAACACCTATGGTAACGACGGTACGGATTTTTCTCAGATTTTGACATGAATGTCTTCACTTCATACCCGCACCAACACTGTTTTGGGACACCCATGATCCTTCTCCCTGGACGAGTCATTGACGATCCACTTGAAGCTCCAGAAACATCACTCATCTTTCAGTTTCACTTTTCTCTCCCAATTCAATTTTCCCAATTCGATTTTTAGGGTTCCTCACGAAATGAGTTTCTGGTGAAGAAATAGAAAGACAATGTTTTCGGGTCGGGTGGGTGATGACTCGGTTTATTAAACTAGGTTTGGTTATGTCTGAAAAGGTTTATTTCGGTTTAATGTTGGTTCACCCAGAAAAACCATTAAAATCGGCGGTATGGAGATAGAGACTTCGAACTTTGTTTTCTGGGGAGAAAGGAGACTTAAACATAGTAGTTGTGTGGAAATAGAACGAGAGCCAAAGTTTGTGTGGATCTGGTGATATATGATACTTCTCAGGGGGAAATAGAGCGTCTTCCCTTTTGATTAAGAGCATCATTATCCCAAAGATCCGTCTTTTAATTACTTTTTAATATTTTAAGTAGTAAATGATAATTAAGAGACTTAGTTAAAAGATTTGAGATTTTAGTGCTCCCTTGCAAGTATTTTAATTTAGGGTTCTTAAAAATAAAAAGTTTGCAAGCAATTACATTTCCTAAAAACAGCCAAAAGAATCACAAATGATGTGTAAAAAATGGCCATATTTTAGACATGAAGTGTAAATTTTCTAGTATACTTTTGTGGTTATACACAACAAACTCCATAGAAAAAAAAAATTCGAGGGACAAAGAGCTTTGGGGTGCCATTTATGCTTGTACATCCTCACTATGATGATGATGAGTAAGAACAAAGCTTAGCATCTCAAACTAAACACATACTTTTCCTCTTTTGTTAATAGTGTTGCTAAGAACCTACATCAACTCCGAAACAAAAAAAACAAACCTTAGCCCGAGGGGTATTCTCACGATCAAGAAGATAAGCAGGAACAGCTCATTCCTGAACATCCTCATCAGTTTTACGCCTTGATGAACTCTCCTCATGTATCTTCAATCTGTAGAAAAAGTACATATTTGAGAACAAAGCACAAATATTACTTATTTCATTCTACAAAACATATCAAGATTCCGTTCATCGGCATTAAATAATTACTAGTATATGTCCCTTGCTATGCACAGATAGTGTTTATATGTATATGCAAAATATAGTATTTGTGTTTCTTAACAATGATAATATGTTATTTTGCATCTTAAAAATAGTTTTCTGATGTTTATATCTTACAATAGTCTAATTTAAACCTTGAATGTAAAATACTGATCTCTTTTCAAAACCAAAGAAATTTATTACATATGACTTTTTTTAGAAGAAAAGCATATTTTCGCTGAAGTACAATTATAATACAACCCTTTAATTTTGTAAGTAACTGACGTTGGTATCTTTTATAATGTTTACCTCTTTCCTATGAATGATTTTGTTGTCATTCATTGGTATCTTTTATAATGTTTACCTCTTTCCTATGGGAGGACATATTTTACAAATTAAGTCTTACCCGTTTCACGAAACTTACCTTAATAATGTCTTGGACCCGATGAAAGAACCCACACTCGGCACTCCTTATGTACCAACACGAGTAAAAATTTTTTTTTTTTTGGTAACTAATTTTTTATTATTGGAGAATTCGGTCTGTCTTTGTTGATAAAATGATCTCCTACAATGTTTATTAGGGCCAAGGTTACGGGATATGACAATTCCCTTCCTCTCGATGTTGTCCAGAAGGAGATAGAAGAATATTTCTCTGCATATGGTTCTTTTGTTTATCCCCACAAAACCACTTCTGGTGCTACCAAAATGTTTGCGTCTTCTTCTTCCCAGTTTTCTTGTTAATATATATATTTTTAATTTATCCATTTGCTAACTAAAGAATTGTTTTTGAGTTTTTATATTTTAATTAAATAAATAATATTTTTATAAAGATAAAGTAACCATAAATTGTTTTGTAAATAATATATCATATAAACCTTTATGTAAAATATTTTTTTTCATATCTGTAAATAAATTAGATATTTTATATAATATTAATATTGTAAATAGTTATTAATTTATATAAAATCATCAAACAGTTGTAATAATTATTATATACACGAAATAATAAATAAAAATTATTAAATTAAATATTTTATTAATACAATATATTATATTAATTTTTTAAAACAGTCAGTCAATTTAAATATATATATATGTATATATATATAAATCATAAAAAGTAAGAAAAAGATAAATATTTTACTTTTTGAAAACTAAAAATACAGCAAAATCAAAAACCTAAAACTTAGAAATTAAAAACCAAATCAAAAAATTAAAATCTGAAACGAAAAACTAATGTATATAATCATCACATGTACATGGCCCACTCACTTTGTATTTAGCATGAGAATTCACTCTTTCACTAACTTTACCCCTCACGATTCACCACTTGTCTCTGCAAGACCCAGTCACTTGGTCTTTAACAAATTCAAACATTTCAACTTGTATTAACCAATGTTCGAAAAATTGTTAGACGCTACGCGTGCGGTCGGGTAGCGCCTAGCGCCGAATCAATTAATCGAAGATTATATGGGGACTAATCGGAGAGTAATTTTAGGGTTTTCATATATTTTTAAGGATTATTTAATTAATATGTGTTCTAAAACTGTCGATGATGCCTAGTCTAGTGGTCATGAGCTTCACCAAACCTCGCCAGGCCCGGTTTCGAATGTCTTTCGACACATTTTGTCACTATTTCCAATATTTAGATTTAATGAACTGGTGAAAGACAAAATTATCCCTATCTTCAACCTACATCTCTGTATTTTCTTAAAAAGCAACAGTCGCTTTTGTTTTTTTTCTTTTTACGATTTCAAAGTTTAATCATGCTAATGTTGAATATTTTAATCAAAATAGAACATATCTAAGAGATATATGTGACTTGGTACCTAAAATTTACAAAAATGATGATTCTTTAAAGTTCTCCAATTAATACTCCGATTAACACCAACTCGCGGCAGTGCTCCGCCGGCTCACGTAATTCCGGCGATTAACCAGGTGCCGAGGTTGCGTTTTTGAACAGGGGTATTAACACGTTCAACAACCTCATGAGCAGATTGCTCATCTTTTATATACTAAAACATAGATCAGTCAACCAATAAAATTTTGACACGTGTCATTGTTCAACAAAAAAAAAAGTATAATAATCTCAGTTGATTTCAGTTGTTCCTGTAACTGTAAAACGAAAATCCCTATTTTTTTACAAACACACGTTCCAAAATGACTTTAAATCCTTCCCACTCAGAGTCATCTGCTTCAACCTCTTATAAATATTCAATTAACCAAATTTTGTTTTTCTATATATATTTCTCTTTCTTTCTCTTTTATTGGGTGTAGAAATACTAGCAGAGATGAAGAATCTTTATGTTCCCTCTTCGTCTCGACTCTCGACAGTTTCATCTTCTTGGTAATTTTATTTTGTTTTTAAATGTAGCAAAGTGTATTTACATTCATTTCTTCTCTTTTTTTCTCAACACTCTCTATCATATTCTTTTCTGAATGTTTCAAAGTTGAAAATTTTATCATAACATAGTATAATTTTGTAGCTTAAACTTTCACAAAATGCTGGAAAATCCTAGATTTGTTACACAAAATATTACTATCAGAAATCTGAAGTTATTCTTCCCATGAAAAGCTGTTCTTATGGACATGGGCTACGATTGGTATTATGGCTTTCTAAGCTTTAGGTTTTGTAAAGTCATTAAAGTCAAAATTTTAAGCAATCAGACTTTATGCTTTAGACCACTTAAAATTTCTTGTAAAGTTTTTAAAGCCAATTTTTAAAAATATTTTTCTATTTTGTTCATGTTTTTCTAAAACCACAATTTTAGGTTTTAGACAAAATCCAAAGTTTTAAAAACCAAGTCTTTACAGTCTAGAGTCTAAAACTACAGCCTATAACAATGGTCTGTACCAGTCGGAGCCATGGTCGGTCAGTAGCGTAAACGACCGCTTATGACATTATGATTTAAAATAATAATTTTAGTTGCATATAGGACATGATAAAAAAAGATTACATGCATAATAAGGTCATAAAGTTTTAAGTGAGTTTACGACATCAAGAAAAAAATAAAAATGTTGGACCGGCACTACTTATGGAAAAAGATAAACACAGTGACATTTAAAATTTGTGATTTCAAAAATCTGTTTAAATATTTGAAACTTAGCAATTTTTAGATTTGTTTAAATAATATTCTTTGATTATTAGGTGTTGGGTCATAACATGTTCAATAAAATTATAGTTTTTCATAATTTTGTTGCATCTTTTGTTTCATTTTGGTCAATATTTCATTTTTGTATATTTGTTATGTTAAACATGAATAGGTGTGTAGTTTAAAGAAGTATTATTTAACAAAAACAAAACTGAAAATAAAATAAAATATTTGGATTACATATCAATTATAATATTTATACCATATTTAGAAGACAGTGAAACTAAACCGGTTCCTTTTCTTCATTCAATCAATAAGGTTAACCGGTTCGTAATTTTTGGTTAGGTTGAATCTTTAACTGTTTTAACGAACGGTTAAAAGAACCACATTGTTTAGTCGTTTCTTTCTGATACCACTCGAATCTTTCACAGCGTTCGTCCATGGCTTCTCCAAGGCGTTCGTGGTCGTTGTCTCTGCTGCCACCGGAGATAATACATGAAATCTTTTACAAGACTCCCGCGGAAGCTCTCGTCCGATCAAAGCCAACGTGCAAGAAACTGTACACTCTCATCACCGACGAAACTTTCATCCACAAACACTTCCAACGCTCTCAAGAACATTTCCTAAGAGCCACTGATACGGTACAAATCATGGATCCAATAACCAGAAAAATCTCAGTTTCACCAGTCCCAAACGAGTTATTACAACATCCATTCAAGATTGATACTTTGGTTAACACACACATGGTTCACTGCGATGGATTCATGCTGGTTGAGTACAAAGACGACGGATCAAGAGACACCAACCTCGCACTTTGGAATCCTGTCTTGAGAAACATCAGATGGATCGAGCCCTCACGAAGCATCACGAGCTTTGACTACCACGGGATTGGATACGACAAGAACAAGAATGGTTACAAGATCTTGAGGTTTACTAGCCGCCCTTGGGAGATTGAGCGTTATGAAGATGAACCAAAGGTTGAGATTTACGAGTGCAACACAAGTTCTTGGAGGACGCTTGATGTGGAGCTTGATCTGAATGTGAATATCATGCGTAACTGTGTGGCTGTGATGGGTAACATGTACTGGATTGTTTACAGAGATGATGAAGAAGAAGAAGAGGATGAAGAAGAGTTCATTCGTTGTTTCGATTTCTCGGATGAAACATTTAAGGATATATGTTTCTGTCCTCCTTCTTATGATAATAGTCACTTATCGTCTTTCAATGGAGATAGCTTGTCTTTGCTACAACAAGAGCAAGTATCAAGAACCATTGAGGTGTGGGTTTCAAGTAAGTTGGGTGATGGTGATGTCTCGTTTAGCAAGTATTTCAGTTTGTCCGGTCCTGATCTTCCGGCGTTACGGCTCCATGATAATGCGGCTTATGCTGTTTATTGCTTTGTCAAGACTAAGAGTGTCATCGCATGGTGCGTGGGAGTTGAAGGAGAAGGTGATAAGGTTTGTCGTTGCCTTACTCTGTATGAGATTGATGAGGATGGGGTGAGAAATGAAAAGGTGACAGAGCGTGACTACATGCATGACTATTCTGGCTCCTTCGTTTGTGGCTATGTGTACGTTCCAAGTATGATCCCACTTCCATGGGTAAGAGATTAGGGTTTTCTTTCTTGTTCTATAAGCTTTCTTTCTTGATCCCACTTCCATGTATGATCCCACTCTTTGTTCGTTGATCTTCTTCCATGTATATATCTCGAAAGGAACTATAATACTGTGCAGATGTTACTGAATTTAACATTGGATTTTGTATTACGATCTTATAAAGTTTTTGGTTATGGTCCACTTTTGTAGCATGTTATGTATCAGTGCTTGTATGGGGCGTAGTTTTCTGATAATAGTTTTCTTGTTTAAGAGGTTGACCTTTGTAATATGACATAACTCTCCTCGGGTTTATACTCTGGACGAGTGTGTCATGCTCCCTACAATCAAAACCCACAGATCAGTTAAAAATCATAATTGAAAACCACTATCAAAACGTTAGAATGGACACAAAGATAAGGGACTTTCTTTTGATAGTAACAAATGTCAGTTTATTGGTACAAGTCCTAGTGTATCTTCCAAAACAGAGTGTGATTCTAATGAGCTCATACGTCTATCATCCAAGGTCTCCAGTAATCAGTGACAGAATAGTTAAGAGATCTAGTCCAAGCTTGAGTTCCAAGTAAAGTCACATACATGTTGTGTCGTTGTGATCCACTGTTCTTTTTTTTTTTGTAACAGATCACCACTGTTTAGACAAAAGAACCTCACTAAGTTTACAAACATTCTTGAAAGCTTGAACTACTTAGTCTAATGACATGAGTTTGAACTCTGAAATGAAGTTGAGAGATGGCCACTGATTATGTCATTCATATGGTATGGTACACTGCTTTTAATGTCATGGAGGTAAAGCGGTAAGTTAGACTATCTACAATGTTAGTTCAACACTCTTAACTTTTTGTTAACACTCTATATCATCTTTTCTTCCATCTATATTGTTAAACGTCTACCTCATTTTTAATCTATATAATAATTTTATTTAATCAAAATTAATATCTTATCCTATCATTTTAATTTATATTTTTATCTTTATAAATTAATAATTACATATTAATACTTTTTATTGTAACTAAATTAAATAATTAAAAATACATATTTTTAGGAATTTTTATTTATATTTTAACTAAAAAAATTTAAAATAAAAAATTATAGTGAGAATTGATATGTTTTCCTGTATCCAAATGAAATGAGAATAGTATCTATTTATAGATTATAAAAAGTCATGAATTCTAGTAAAACATTTATTTTTTAAATTGTTTGTTGCAAAATAATTGAAATTTACTATTTGTGAATTCACTCTCTTATTAGCTTTCTCCCTTCACGTTTCAACACTTGTCTCGCAAGACCCATCCGCTTGGTATTCAACAATTTCAAACTTTTCAACTTGTATTATACGTTGGAATTTTTTAGAATCCAACAGCCTTGTTTTGAGGATTAAGCAGTTAAATTTTTGATTCAACGACGTCAAGTTATTAATTCCCAAACCGGTGGTTACTAAACCATCGTTGCCAAAACGGTGGTTACTAAACCGGTTCGTTTTCTTATTCAATCAATGAGATTCAAAGATTTCATGTTTTTGTTTAGGTTGAATCTTTAACTTTTTTGCTTGTTTGATTCAGTCAATGGAATTTTACCCCAAAGAAAAAAGATTAAAGAATCACAGGGAGGAAAAAGAATAATTATCCAAGATTCTCTGATATCTTTAACCAAAAGACGGTGGTTACTAAACCGGTTCGTTTGCTTCATTCAATCAATAAGGTTAACCGGTTCGTGTTTTTTTGGTTAAGTTGAATTTATAACTGTTTTAACGGTTAAAAGAACCACACTGTTTAGCCGTTTCCTTCTTCTTCGTGCTCAAGTAACTTCTTATCCAAGAAACTCTGATACCACTCGAATCTTTCACAGCGTTCGTCCATGGCTTCTCCAAGGCGTTCGTGGTCGTTGTCTCTGCTGCCACCTGAGATAATACAAGAAATCTTTTACAAGACTCCGGCGGAAGCTCTCGTCCTATCAAAACCAACATGCAAGAAACTCTACACTCTCATCACCGACCACAGTTTCATCTACAAACACTTCCAACGCACTCAAGAACACTTCATAAGAGCCTCCGATACGGTACAAATCATGGATCCAATAACCAGAAAAATCTCAGTTTCACCAGTCCCAAACGAGTTATTACGACATCCATTCAAGATTGATACTTTGGTCAACACACACATGGTTCACTGCGATGGGTTCATGCTGGTTGCGTATGGTATGTTGAAGTACAGAGACGACGGATCACGACACACCAACCTCGCACTTTGGAATCCTGTCTTGAGAAACCTCAGATGGATCGAGCCCTCACGAAGTATCACGACCTCTGACTACCACGGGATTGGATATAAAAACAAGCCTAGCGATGGTTACAAGATCTTGAGGTTTACTAGCCGCCTTTGGGAGATTGAGCGTCATGAAGATGAACCAGAGGTTGAGATTTATGAGTGCAAAACGAGTTCTTGGAGGACGCTTGATGTGGAACTTGATGTGGGTGTGATTATCATGCTTAACTGTGTGGCTGTGATGGGTAACATGTATTGGGTTGCTTATAGGGATGAAGAAGTAGAAACAGAGTTTATCTGGAGTTTCGATTTCTCAGATGAATCATTCAAGGAGATATGTTTCTGTCCTCCTTCTTATGATATTAGTCACTTAGCTTCTTTAAATGGAGATAGCTTGTCTTTGTTAAAACAAGACGAAGTATCAAGAACCATTGAGGTGTGGGTTTCAAGCAAGTTGGGTGATGGTGATGGTGATGTCTCGTTTAGCAAATATTTCAGTTTGTCCGGTCCTGACATTCCGGCGTTACGGATCGATGATGAGGCGGCTCGTCCTGTATACTGCTTTGTGAAGACTAAGAGTGTTATTGTATGGTGCGTGGGAGTTGAAGGAGAAGGTGATAAGGTTTGTCGTTGCCTTACTCTGTATGAGATTGATGAGGATGGGGTGAGAAATGATAAGGTGACAGAGCGTGACTACGTGCATGACTATTCTCGCTCCAACCTTTGTGGCTATGTTTATGTTCCAAGTATGATCCCTCTTCCATGGGTAGGAGAGTAAGGTTTTTGTTTGGTGTTCTATGCTCTAGTTCTGCTCTTAATTTGTTTGTTGATCTTTTGCCATGTATATATCTCGAAATGAACTATGATAATGTGTGCAGATGTTACTGGATTTGACAATTGTTTTTGATTTTGTATGGTTATGGTGCGCTGTTGAATGAGAATCATGTTGTGTAACGTTCATGTTGTCATGTTTAGTTGGTTCAACAAAACTATAAGATACACTAGGTGTTGTGCCCGCATATGCGGGCATAATTTTCTTACGAATATTTATTATTTTATTAATTCTAAATAATATTATAAGTTATTTTCTATAGTTTTAAAAAACCTAAATCAAACATTAAAATATTTTTATATGATTTTCATCAAAATCTATATGCTTATTATAGTGTTGAAAAACATCCACATAATAAAATATTTTGAAAATATATTTATATTTTTTTCTTAATATTTAATTTTAAATTGTTTTATAACTTACATTTTTATTTTTCACAATAAAAAAGATTATTTTCAGATAATTGTATAACATTCTATAAGATATCTTATGTTTTAAATATGCATGTGGATAATTATCCTATTAATTTATAATAAATCAACTAATATAATAACATAAAAATTTATATCACTAACATAAAATTTGGTTTTAACTAATTTATATATAAATATATAAATTTCACTAAAGGTATCATTAACTTGAACATTTAATTATATAATAAAAGTATCTTTATACAAGTGTTTTTGTTTGATTAATATTTAATTAAAATCAATTTTAGTTTTTAGTTTTTAAATTCTATACTATAATGATATTATTTTTAAAAGCCAAAATCAATTTTATATAAAATTAAGATCTATAAGCATTATCATGTTGTTACAATATTATATTTAGATAATAATAACATATATAAGAATTATCTTGTTTTTGTTTTTTTATAAACTTATTATATTAATTATTCTTTATTATCTAAGATAATAACATACTGTACTTATCTAATTTTATTTTTTAAATTTCGTTTTTAATTATAAAATTAGTTATATATAAAAATTTCATTAAGGGTAAAATAGATATTAACCACTCTAACTTTTAACGTGGGAGCTCCGTTGCGAAAAATCACTTCGCAAATAATAGTATAGATAGCAGGAAAAATGGGCTTGCTCTTCTGATTGTGTCCAGCTAGAAAGTCATCACGTACATGATCCTTTTGGATTTGGTTAAGACATAAATTTTAGGCCCATTTAAAACTAGTATATATAAGAAACATGTGGATTTAATGTCAAACCGACCTTAGCTCAGTTGGTAGAGCGGAAGACTGTAGTGGGTAATCCCAAAGAAATCTTTAGGTCGCTGGTTCGATTCCGGCAGGTCGGATTCTTTTTTCCTTTCTTCTTTATAGTATCTATGGGACCCACATCCAACCAGCTTTTGCTTCCCATTCATCTCGCGTGCGTAAACCGTTGATTAACCAACCCCCACACGTTCAGAAAATCCCTTTTTGATTAAGAGCATCATTATCCCAAAGATCAGTCTTTTAATTACTTTTTAATATTTTTTAAGTAGTAAATGAGAATTAAGAGACTTAGTTAAAAGATTTGAGGTTTTAGTGCTCCCTTGCAAGTATTTTAATTTAGGGTTCTTAAAAATAAAAAATTTGCAAGCAATTACATTTCCTAAAAACAGCCAAAAGAATCACAAATGATGTGTAAAAAAATGGCCATATTTTAGACATGAAGTGTAAATTTTCTAGTATACTTTTGTGGTTATACACAACAAACTCCATCGAAAAAAAAATCCGAGGGACAAAGAGCTTTGGGGTGCCATTTATGCTTGTACATCCTCACTATGATGATGATGAGTAAGAACAAAGCTTAGCATCTCAAACTAAACACATACTTTTTCTCTTTTGTTAATAGTGTTGCTAAGAACCTACATCAACTCCGAAACAAAAAAAAAACATACTTTTCCTCTTTTGTTATTAGTGTTGCTAAGAACCTACATCAACTCCGAAACAAAAAAAAACAAACCTTAGCCCGAGGGGTATTCTCACGATCAAGAAGATAAGCAGGAACAGCTCCTTCCTGAACATCCTCATCAGTTTTACGCCTTGATGAACTCTCCTCATGTATCTTCAATCTGTAGAAAAAGTACATATTTGAGAACAAAGCACAAATATTACTTATTTCATTCTACAAAACATATCAAGATTCCGTTCATCGGCATTAAATAATTACTAGTATATGTCCCTTGCTATGCACGGATAGTGTTTATATGTATATGCAAAATATAGTATTTGTGTTTCTTAACAATGATAATATGTTATTTTGCATCTTAAAAATAGTTTTCTGATGTTTATATCTTACAATAGTCTAATTTAAACCTTGAATGTAAAATACTGATCTCTTTTCAAAACCAAAAAAAAATTATTACATATGAATTTTTTTAGAAGAAAAGCATATTTTCGCTGAAGTACAATTATAATACAACCCTTTAATTTTGTAAGTAACTGACGTTGGTATCTTTTATAATGTTTACCTCTATCCTATGAATGATTTTGTTGTCATTCATTGGTATCTTTTATAATGTTTACCTCTTTCCTATGGGAGGACATATTTTACAAATTAAGTCTTACCCGTTTCACGAAACTTACCTTAATAATGTCTTGGACCCGATGAAAGAACCCACACTCCTTATGTACCAACACGAGTAGATTTTTTTTTTTTTTTTGGTTACTAATTTTTTATTATTGGAGAATTGTGTCTGTCTTTGTTGATAAAATGATCTCCTAAATGTTTATTAGGGCCAAGGTTACGGGATATGACAATTCCCTTCCTCTCGATGTTGTCCAGAAGGAGATAGAAGAATATTTTTTCTGCATATGGTTCTTTTGTTTACCACCACAAAACCACTTCTGGTGCTACCAAAATGTTTGCGTCTTCTTCTTCCCAGTTTTTCTTGTTAATATATATATATATATATTATTTTTTTTAATTTATCCATTTGCTAACTAAAAAATTGTTTTTGAGTTTTTACAGCAAATCTTATATTTATCTCTGTGGTCAAGAGGCTGTAGACAAGGCTCTGGAACGTAGTGGACGTTCTGTGGGAGGCTTGAATCTTGTAGTTACTAAAAGGTTTTGCCAATTCCAAAAAACCCACCTAGGACTGGCTACGTCCCCCCCACGTACGTAAATTTGATTCTTATTCTTTTTTTTTTTTTAACTAAGTAAAAACCTTTCATTAATTTGTCTGTCTATTTGTTTTAGGTATCTTGAATTCCTTGACTAAGGAGCAGAGAGATGATCCTAATCTATATTTCATTATTGAGGGAAATCAGAAGAAGAAGAAAACTAAGACCAGGAAGGGAAATCAGAAGAAGAGGAGTGTGACAACGGAGGGAAATCAGAAGAAGAAGAGCAAGACCAAGGAGGGAAATAAGAAGAAGGGAGTAGAAATCTCTTTCTGAGGAGAAGACATGCTTTTTGTGATAGTTGTGTGCAATACGACCCTTCTCTTCTTGTCTGGATACTTAAATGTTTTATGCTTGTTTTGTGTTAATCTCTATAAAAAATTTCTAGGTTTACTTGTTTATCTACTCAAAATTGACTTATTCTTAGGTTTACCAACCAATAGGATGATGTTATTTCATATTTGATATCTTTAAAAAAGAAAACAAAATCTTGTCAAATTATATTATTTTTTTAAAATAAAACTAAAACAAAATAAATAAGAATAATAATATTTACAAAAAACGAAAAATCTTTAAAAAATATATTTTAACATTATATTATGTTTTAAATAAAAGATAAAAATAAAAACAGTAATAGTTGCAAAAAATATTTAAAACAAAAATCCTTTAATATATCTTTAAAATAAAAACATGTGATTAAAATAAAAAGATAAAAATAAATAAAAAAATCAGTATAATTGGTTAGTATTAATTTACCTAAGGTTAAGATTTTTCCAAAAGGTTTATGATTTACCCAAGGGTTTAGGGTCTAGGATTAGGGTTTAGGGTTTTAGCTTTTTGCATAATTGACCTGAAACTTGAAGTCAACCACAAAACTAACCTCCTTTGTTTTTGGAACTTTATTTTGTCCAATTCACCCCACAAGTTCATATAATTCACGAAAATGCCATCAATTTGTTTTTTGTTTTTTTTTTTCGAAAATGACATATTTACTCTCTCACCCTCATCATCTTCAAGTAATTACAAGATTGCCATTGTCATCAATACTCCAACAACCATGAACAACCAATTTTTGAAGCTCTTAATGCCTCCAAATTCCATTTACTCTTCTTCTTTCTCTATTCTCATGAACTAAACAACACATTACAACACATATCTCTCACT